AACATCGATATTTATATAGCCTAATAGAACGACTTTTGCCTCCTAGGTAAAAACTGTCCATAGTTTACGTGGTTAAACAAAATAGGGGATACCAATCCTGGGTATGTCTGTTAAGGACTGAAGTTCAGTTCCGCCTTATTAATATTTTAAAGAATCTCTGTCGCGTCTGTATCAATGTTGACGAACGAATATTGGTCACTTATTCACTTTGTATCCTATAAATCCGATGATTTAGGTATTTTTATGTGATCAAGTAGAACTTTGTTGTCACGTAAGATGAAATTATCATCTGCTCACTTCAACTTTTCCCCTACATTTATTATAGGTAGTATGCAGAAGTCATTTTATCCACGTCTCACATAAGTTAGTTGTGGATGTAGGCTTCAGACTGTCTATTGAGAGGAAAAACCCCCCAGACGTGTTTTCTTCGCATTGCCTCCAGTCATATGTAATCTTTATCCAAGCCTCCAAGATTTCTAGGAAATCCATACCAAATTTTTCTTTGCCGTGAAACCTTTTGCACTTGTTTCACAATGATCATTCTCTTCTTTTTGTAGACTGGGTACCTATGAGTAATTTCAGGACGGGAAGGAAGAATCTCATTTCTGGAATTAGATACTTTCCAGTTCTGATCTGCGGCGTCTTGGACTACCCACCAGAGTAAGGGTTTACTTTACACCTCTAGTTGGACCTAATGACCTCTGTAGCTTTCCTGTTACCTGATAAAGGTTTCTTAGCAAGTAATTCAGGTGCTCATAGAACAAAAATGCATTTGTCAGCTTGAACCCTGGGAAAGTTTTAGTATTTTAAGTGAGTGCGCTTAACGACCGGATCAAATGGCATTTGCTTCGTAATTGTCATTTTTCGAATGTAACGCTGACCTGTTGGTAAATAAATTAGTGATTAAGAAATCATCTTCTAAATTTTTGACTGAAAATGACCTCGGCAGGGATCCGTCACCATTTTTGTCTTGGAAAATTTGGAATAAGAAACTTTCCCCCAAAAAAAACACAAAAGAGGATTCCAGGATGTCTGGATGTTATTTCAGTGATGAGTGTGCCTAAAGTGCCCGGGACTGAAACAGTCCGATTTCTCTACAATTGCAACTACCAACATCCACGGGATGCGGAAATAGATCGGAGTGCACGTGTACGTGTGTGTATAGCTCATGCCCCTAATCGTGTCTGAAAAACCGGGTGGAAAAACTGAACGTATATTGTCTAAACACGGTGTTTATTTTTGATGCTATAATCAAGTGAAAAGCCACTTTGTGTCCACATATTATACGTTATATCAGCTTAAATTAACCACTTACAAAATGAGGTTCGAATTTCATCCTCACTTAAGAGTATTGGCGGAAGATAATGGAATTCACGTTTCAGGCCGCTATAAAAGGGTGTTTAATGTAATAAACACTTTATAAATTAAACACGTTCACGTCAAAACGCGCCTTTCCATATGCGCGTCAACACCTATGCAAAACGTTGTGTAGGGCCTATCCCTCAAACTCGCTCCCGGAGTGATTCTGACGGCCGAATGCAACGCACACGTGTGGAGTCGAGTTTTGTGTCCGTGAAAGTGGAACGCATCGTATACGTAACGCATCTAAAAAACGTACATGTGGAAGGGTGTGTTAATTTGTTTAGTTTATAAAACAGTATGGGGTTTTACGGTACATTTTCCATGCACGTGCTAACGCTTCCTCCCTACTTTTCATTTGTTCGAGTTCCATCACTCTTCCTGAACTCGATACAGGACCATTCTTCTCTTGTTCGATTAACATATCTACGTATTCTTTCACACTTATCTGAGGCTTAAGGGCGATTTCTTGAAGACGTTGCATACAGCTAGCAGCCTCGGAATTCAAGCTTTGCAAACACTGCATGTGATCTTGAATGTCGGTATTGAGTTCTTGGATTACCTGCTGAACAGGTAGCCCCCGACCAGCTGCTTTCTCTTGTCGACCGTTTATATTTTTAGACGTCGTCATCTTCTTTACCAATCGGGGTTTCTTACGCACCGACAGCACGATGTGGTCACGTGTTTTACACTTTCTGGGACATACTGTGCACCTCCCTTTAATGTCAAAAACTCGACACAAGTAATTTGAGTTTTTCATAAGCGAACACGGAAAGTGACAGGTATATTTGCATTTGGTGCAGTTCATTGCACCTAGTTCTGTCTCGACCCATTGGAATGGTTCAGCATAACAGGTGATTAGAAAACGTATGTTTTGCACCATTTCAGGCTCGTGAGACTCGGGCATTTTCTTTTCTATTTTTATTTGCCCAATCTTTGTGTTTATGGTTTGAATCTGCTGATACAGGTGTTCAGAGATATTCTCCAAACGTAAACGCTCATGGAGGATTTGCTTCGTATAACATAGACAAGCTCGTTTTAGTTGTTCAAGATACTGAAAAAAGAAGTGCATGTTCTTCATTCCTTTATTCCAGTGCGAACGATTGACAAGAAGATCATCTTCGTCACTGTCACTCCCTCCCTCCGCCACATTACACTCAAATAGTGCCGAGTTGTTAAACTTGAACAAGTTGCCCTCGCAACGGATGTTTTCCTCTTTGAATGCTGATACAACCTGCAGGGGTTCTTTGTCACTAAATGTGGCAAGAATCACTATGTTAGGCTCAATGTCTTTGCCATATAAGGACAAAATGGAATGAAAGATGTATTTTTGAGTATAATCAAAACGAATCTTCGATGAATTTGTAACAAAACCTAGAGCGTCGAGATGATCCACATGGTGATCCTCGGGATGGGAGAAAAACTCTTTGACCTGATGAACGATTGCTTTGTCGCGCTCAATACCTCTTGTATCTCCAAACCCAGGCGTATCAATGATTGTCAGTGTGTACGGGATGGTGTGGTGTTCGTTGCTATGGATAGTGTATGCAGCTATAACTTGTGTTTGACTGTGCGCCTGCGACTGTGGTCCTTCTACCCGTTTATCTACGATCTTAAATCTAAAGTCATCTTCCCACTTCACCCCTAAGATATAATTAATCATTGTATTGATCAAGGTACTCTTACCGACACCTGTAGCACCAACTAACATTATCACCTTGTGGTGTTGGTATGCCTTAGACTGCTCACCGTAGGAAAAACAACAGAAGGATTCCGTTTTAAAAACTTCATTCAAAGGAATTATGAAAGTTTTTGCTTGACCGTCATCTTCACACCGACATTGCTTTGACAATCTTTCTGCATAGCCTTCGTCACTAATTGATCCAGCCGAATCTTTAGTTTTCTGCATGCTGATGACGAGTAACGCTGGAGCTCTGAAAAAAATTAGGACAGTAACGACATTCATTAAGGGGTACGTGCTCCTAGATTATTGTGTGCCGATGACTTCCTTCTAAAGGCGGAGATTTCTTGACAAATGCGGGAGGGATGATTTCTGAAATTCATCCTTGTGCCGAGCGTGACGCGGCACAGGATCCAATGTTCCCGCTCAATTAGGGTGCGAACAAAGTCAGTGACTTGAAAATTGGGGGGATGGTTAAATTGGTCGTCCCCTGGTCAAAAAGTGGTGGCAGATACATCCCAGATCCCCCTGGGATCTCCACCGATGCCTCTTTTTTTGTATAATGTTAGTGAGAAAACAGTTTATGATTTGACGAGCGGACATGTTTTTTGACGCAGCGTGAAATTTCTCACTATTCCACTAAATTTTACTAAAACCCTTCAAATTGTACCTTTTGGACTTCAATTAAAGTTATTTTATCACAGGGATGCAGGCACGGAACATAATGGCATCACCCGATCCGACTGCCCACTGCTACTTATAAGTGAGGCCTGTGCAGCAAAATAGCCATGCTCTAACTGAATATATTATCGTATGTTACAGTAGGCAAACTTATATAAGTGAGGCTTGTTCCAGCCTTCTGCTTGCAGATTTTCTTTACGCTCACTAGCCTCACTTATAAGTTTGCCTACTGTATTGTATCATACAAAAATATATTAGCAACACAGTTCTTGCGGGCTGTTTTGCTGCAGCTATATCCGTATGTAGATTTAGTTCTCGAAAATAAGATCACAGCTCATCCATAACCCGAGATTTAAAAACAAGCTCTTATTTCAGGTGCGCGGTGGCCTTGTTTACAACCCCAAGATTTTTACCATAAATGCTTATCTGCATATGGGGAGGAAGTAACTTTATTAAATGTATCAGTGCAACTGATTACTTTGCCTTTGAAAATGTAGATTTCATCACAAAGATCAAGATCGCAGGTCATCTACTGGTCGAGACAAAAATAACGTCAACAACCCTGTCCTTCAGTCCACTGTTACAGCCGGTGACCACGTTTTACGGGATGTAGGCTTTTAACATAAGCATAAGTATAAGCCGTTTTCCAAAACTCAACTTCGTCTCCTTCTCAGCTAGGCTTCCTCCCCGAAACCAATCCCCGGTTGTGGGTCTGAAGTGTTTAAATCAAACTGGATTAGTGTACGTTTTTGCTCTTTTGCATCTTATTTGATGTTTTGTGGCACTATTAGACTAATTAGTGCGCTTACAGCTTCAAAGTCAGGTAGTAAAAAAGCAGTTGAAGCCTGAGGCGGGGCCGAAGTTGAGTATTAGAAAACGGCCTTTGACTAATCCGATCAGACGCCCTAACTGCGGTAGCACCACACTCACACATACATTCTTCAGCTTGACGCGCGTGTGTAGTTGGCGAATCACGACACTCTGTTGGTTGAAGAGGCATGTAACGCTCGCGTACCACCTGTCAACGAGCGTTGTGCCACCTCAGTAAGGGCTTCTAATTCTGGTGGTCGAATTACACTCGGTTTATCACTGTTAAGCAAGACAAAAAAGGTGTTTTTCATGCTTGTGTTTTTACCAGTACATTTCATTGGTCATAAATGACAAAATACTTGACAGTCAGCAATAATGCATGAAATTGTTTTAACTATGAGTAAAACTCATTCAGGTTATAGGTGTTTGTCAACCGTTATTACAAGTTAAGAACACATAAGTTAGAAATCATTATAATCCGTTTTGAGGGTAATATTTTTAACGAGTAACAATCATACATAGCAGGGGTTTACTGACCAAACTTTTCCGTTGGTGTATTTCTGCAAAGTTCGCAGGTATATAAAGCAAATACCGTCGTGTGGGAAACAGTGGAATATAATTGTCATCATTGCAAATTCTTTCGAATGAGTATTAAAGGCCAGCTACAACACTGGCAATTTTCTCGAGTGTCGTGAGCACAAAACCTACGAAATAGTTTATTCACAACTATCTCAAAAGGACTGTAACATTTAACTCAATAACACAATAAGTTTTCAGTTTTGAAAGCTGCCTTCATACGGATATTCCTTTCATTTAAGGCAATCTATTCCAATACCTGCTTTATCGAAGTTTGGTAATTACTTCTTCGTTCAATAAGGTGTTTAATTTTAACAATTGAAAAAGACTGCGAGTCTTGACGTTGCCTTGCGTTCCTTTAACCGGACTTTTAGAAACCTTATTTGTGGGAGCCTCTTTTTCCATGTTAAAAGTTTTTGTCACCGTCACCAAGACCAACCTCGTTCCAACCAATCCAATGTCAGAGAGTTGTCCAGTCGTTTCGTATCAGTTCAGTTCAGCGCGTCACGGGTCATAATTATACAACAGTCCATCTCATAAGAATCTTCATTTAGGAAAGCATTGCTGTCAAGTAGTGTGTTTTGGGGATTATTAGTCCTACATTCGCATGATTTGAGTTAAGTTGATGCAACTGGTCAATCTGTTTATCCTATTTTAACCCGACTGTTAAGGTATGTTCGTGCGTTGATTTCGTTGTGCTGTGTTCCGTTTTGCTTTGTTTTCTGTAATGCCTCACCATTTCATCTGTCATGATTCGGACAGTTGTAGCGACATCAAATTCATTAACAGTCCCCCATTGCCTCGGACTACTAACCAGGATACACAACTCATATGACTAATGCATGTATATAGCATTAGTTATCAGTTTTTGTTCCGTGTGTACGTTGATCACTTGTTGCAAAAAGAACCTAATCAGGTAACGGTTAAGGGAAGCTAGAGGGGTCATCAGGTCGAACCGAGGGGGTATGGTAAACCCTCACTTTGGCACGTAGGCCTCGGCTCCAGAGAAGGTCGGCGTTGAATTTCATGTAAAATATTTAGATAAAAAGCCAGTTCATGTATCCAGTTTCAGAAATAGAATTACACTGATCCCCCAATCCCTTGTGAAACACCTCCTTTAGTTTACTTGTCGACACAAACAGGAAAATGATCATGAGGAAACAAATTGGACGCGTTTTTATGGCCAAGGAAAGTTTTGCACGAAGTTCCCCACTTATCGTAACGTGCTAGACTTGCTTTCTAATTACTCAATGTGGAGAAAACCAAGTACGAGTGTCATGGAATTTCCCCTCGATAGACGTTCTGAGAAGGGAAGCCTGTGCATCGATAACCAAATTACGTGCGATGATGGGTACATATTAGTCTTCCAGAAATTATTTCTGCATCCATTGCATTCAATATCACTGAAAAGGGTTAAACTCTTTAAAAAGCCTTAAATATGCAAAACATGAACATCAATATCATTAACAGTGACCTCTAAATCGAATTCAATGGTGTCATCTCCCCTCACCTTGCTTTTACAATTTTCATGGCTGGGCAAGTCATCCCCCATCATCCCTCATCCCCCTGCCATTTCCGACACCAATTCACATCACTGAACACCGGCCGTCCCTTTAGTACTTCAGAACTGGAGACCTATCGTACGCGTACGGAGCGAAAGGTATATATTTTCTGATCTTGGTCAAAAGAAACTCTGCCTTCAAAGTTAATAATAACCAGAAGAGAATACGCTGAAAACCTACCCGGGTCACTTCACATGTTAACCCAAGAAAGGATAAATACTGTAATAATACAAATTTTCGGTTATGTTAAACCAGTTTAGGAGGAGTTTTGGTTTGTTTCATTTATCATCAACAAAATGGGTCAATATTATCAAGTTTTGGTTGAAACAAGCTAGAAATAAATTTCAACCACCAAACCTGGATTGATACGATCTAAGCTGTGCAAACAATTGATCATCAGACCTAATAAAAAAATTAGCTAGATCCCCTAGAGAAAAATTAAAGGATTTATCCAACCGCTGTGTATCCTCCTCCATTTTAACCATGTTAGTTTGTCGATACGACGTAAGGGAAAGAAATATACAAGTCTGGAATGCTTGGACATTACAATGACAGTACTATAAACTTACCCCAAACCTCTAGGATAATGGTACATTAACGTTTTTATTTTGACACCCCCAATCAAAATCTGGACAGAATAAACTCGAATGAGAAGACATTGGACAGGTGGTGAGCATGCGTTACGTGCCTCTTCGAGCAATAGGGTGTCGTGATTTGCTAAATGCACCTGCGCGTCAAACTGAAGAATGTGCGTGTAAGAATGGTGCAGTCGCAGAAATCAGGAGAAGTCTACATCATGATTTTTGAAAAGGGTGGGAGAGCAGAAAGTTGATATTATTCGTCTAAAAGCAATACCTATGGTACGCGGGTCCAGACTGTGCTCTCTCAGATTCCTGCGAGATCCCTGAGGCACATATAAGTCAATAGTTGAAAATAACATCAATGTTGGTATAGTTTGCTTGATTTTTAAGTGATTTGATCAGCTTCGGTAATAGCATTTAAAAGGAATTGACAAACCAGAAATTTCTGTTGTCATTTAAAGAATGAACAATTTTAATCTCTCACCAGTCTAACAATTAGTCACATTGCTATGAGTATTTATTCTGGTTGAATACAGGTAAAGGTTAAAAGGTACAGGTAAAGGCATGTGTTAGATTACGTTCTAAATAAATTGGTACCAAACTGTACTGATTTGAAAAGCACGCTAAAATGAAATTAAAAACCAAAACATTTTAATTTTTTGTCAATATGCCATCAAATGAAATGCAACATGTACAGCACACGTAGAGATCTGCTCTACATCTAATGTTGGTAACACATGTTTTCAAAAGTATCGTAGTTATACATCGGCTAAACGTTATTTGTAAGTGTTATCAATACTCGGTATTTAAATTACAAGTGTGGACGGGTACTAAGCGCAATGATATGCATCAAATTTGTTGAAACTTATACAGATTCAAACAAATACTGCATTTGAATGTAATTGTGTTAATAAACAATGGTTGTACTCACTCATATATACTGATCAACAAGCTCATTCAGCACGATTGCGGTAATGCAGTGCCGAAGGTCAGTCTCCTAGCTCTTTCTTTTTCTGGTCAACCTTGGCTTTTGGTTTAATAAAAGTACAATGCTACAATCCACCAAAACAAATTCATCGGCGACAATGGATTTACTTCTTAATAACCAAATACTTTTACCATTCTTTTATATAAAGAATTCTTTTATATTCATTTTATACTCAGTTGTTCCATGGTTGTACCCCCACGCCAGCGGTATGAAAAGCAAAGATAACTAAATCCGGCCATTCAAACCTATCGAACATTTCAGTGAAATGATTTTATAGCTACATTATACTTCAATAAGTTAGTTTAACTACTGTTAATCTTACTTGCCTTATAACGTTCATTGCATATGAGATACTTTCGCATATGTATCTTTATATGTATCTTTGCGGCTTGTTTTCGTAGAAGTGAAACCTTT